AGTTCTCGCCTACATCGTCCATATAGGACGACTCGGGAACTCAACTCCTACCCCGGGCAGCTCACCTATCCCCTTATGCCCAGGGGAAAGGTATCAAGCCGTTTGACAGCTGATGCTGGCTGTCAAACTGGCTTTTACGCAAAACAGGCGGGAGGCAGCAAACAGCTGCGACCAGCGAAATCGCCTGCCACCGGAAGTCCCCGATCTCATGGTCTTCTGTTCTCTTACCATTCCCTCACCCTCTTGATCTGGCTTCTCCTTCTCTCCTTCAATTTGTATGACTGTTTCCACTGTTTTTTGTTCTGTCTGTTTTTGTTCTTTTCTATCCTCTTGTTGATGTTGTACTCTTTCATCCAGGAATGTTCTGTTTCTTTCATCAAAGTCTTCTGCCTTCCAAACTGAATCCAGTCAATATCTTGTATTGTTTCAATTGATTAGGATCCCTTCTGGCATTAACCGTCTAAAGTTTATTCCTTTAGCAATTAACTTTGGTCAAGAAGTGATATTGTCTTCGTATGTCTCTTATTCTCTTAGGGATCTGCTTCAACACCACAATTTCTTTACTTTTATATTGTAATGGTTCATCTCTAACTCTTCTCAGTATCTCATCTCTTATTGTTTTCTTTATAAATCTAACATGGACTTCTTTGGGTAATTTGGATTTCCTCACACAGCTTGAATTCATTCAAAATATTTCATCCATTTCCATTTGTATTTCCGGTCTTTCTATTTTTAGGGTCTCCACAATAAATTAATGATGATTTCTGCTATATCTTCCTCCTTGTCTTCAGGTATATTTTGGAATCTTAAGTAGTGTACAGCTTTCTCCATTTCCAAGGCTGCAACTGCCGTTTCTAAGTGTTTGTTCTAATCTTTCATTATCTTGAATTAATGCCTCCATTTGTTTCTTCTGATTTATTTCTTCTGATTTATTTTCCATTTTCTGAATTTTTATTCATTTTTAGCAATCATTTGTTAATGGGCATCAAATTGTGCCTTTATATCCAGCATTTGATCATTTAACTTATCAAAGTTAGTTTTTGTCTCTTCATGGTTTTTCTGTATTGATTCTTGAATTAGCTATAATGTAGCTTGCATCTCTCTTTGAGCACTATTTGGTTTTTTTTTTCTGTTGCAGCATTGTTTCAATAGATCCCTGGCTTGCTGGACTAGGTGTTCCAACAGAGGGTGCAGAAGAAGGTTTTTTTTTCATAAGTTTAGTGAGATTTGGTGCACTCATTTTTCAATTGAGTGAGTTTGTAAATACACTAGGACAAAAAGTAAAAGAAAAAAAAACCTGCCTTAGGCTATAATCCAACCATGAAACGAGCCAACTACTTTAGGCTAATCCAAATGTTCCAGCTAGTTTAAAGATGTAAAAAGCCCTCTGTTTCCAAATAGTTTCTGTTGTAGTTATATCCAGGGTCAGAAGATACGATTGTAGAAAGTCTTTTCTATCATAGAGTCACATAAAGTTCTTTTGTTTACACCAGGTGTTGTTTCAAGGTCAAGAGCTTCTCAAGTTCTTTTAGTATTTTGGTATTATTGTAATATCTCCTTTCACCACTAGATGTCCTTATTTACTGTATTATCTATGTCCAGGTTTAAAAAGTTTTTTTTAAGTTGTTTGCTCATAGAAATTAAATATAAAAAGATTTTCCATGCTGTTAGAGTTAACTAAATTATCTTTAAATCAGTCCCAAGTCCATTTTTATATATTTTTTTTATATTTCTTAATTTTATTCCACTGTTTATAATTTCTTGCTGTTTTTAACTCCCTTCTTCCCAAATCATTCTGGGGTCTTTGCTTCGGAATTTTTTTCCAATCAGGGGATCTCTATTTCCAAGTCCATAAGGAAGAGGAATAAAGAAAACAGTCTCACCCAGTTCTCAGCATGTTGTTGACAATCAGCTGTTCGGTGGCTTGCTGCAGCTCTTCACTTTTTTCCCAATTGTCGATGACTTGACTGCCTGTGCCTATAGGCAGCTTTTCTTCTGTCCATTTGAAGAGGTTCCTTGGTTCGTTTGGATCGACCGCCATCTGGTCCAAACTCCCAAAGCTTCCCTTCTTCTTCGTCGCCTCTCCAGGGCAACTTTCTGACCCCTTAGGGTCTCCAGACAGAGCAAAATTGGGCTAAAAGGTCAGAGCTCCAGATTCTTCCAACCGTCTTGTCATGACATCAAACCAGAAGTTTGTAGGGGTGATGAGCAAGGAGGGGACCCCTGCTTGATCACGGGAGGGCAGCAGCCCTTCTGCTTGATCCAGGGCAGCCCTCCTGGTATGTTACTGAACTATTGATTAACCCAGCCATCACATTGCTTTTTAAATACTTAAATGTAAAATTAGAAAAATAATAAAAATATTATGTTAAAAAAAGTAAAAAGTATTTGTTCCATCATTCCAACCCAAATGACATTATATTATGCAATCCACTTTATTTTTTTATTTTTTTTATTATTTTTTTAGATTTGTTAAGGACAAACTGAAAATTTCTGCAAAATGTTATATTCCTGTTAACTTGCTTTATAGGAGAAATAATGTCCATGCATAGAAAATGAAAAAGTATGTCTGGTGTTTACATTCAACTTATAAAATAAATAATTTTGACAATGATTTTTAACTATATTCTGACAGTAAATTTATATTAGTATTCTATATCCATTTGTTTCCTGTACTAATTTTGTTTCTTAATCTGTTTTTCTTTAGAATGATTGAAATAACTAGAATGGCCAACAAATCTGTTGTGAGAGAATTTCTTCTGATGGGATTTTCTGATGACCGTGACATACAAGTTTTGCATTTTGTCATGTTTCTAATCATTTACTTAGTAGCTTTTGCTGGGAATTTACTCATTGTCTTTGTTGTGATCCTGAACTACCAGCTGCATACTCCCATGCATTTCTTTTTGGTTAACCTATCCTTGACTGATATTTGTTACATCTCAATCACTGTCCCCAAATCAATGGAAGTTTCACTGACAGACAATAAAATAATTACTTTTCCTGGATGCATTGCTCAGGTTTTCCTAGTTATTACTAGTGCATCTTCTGAGATCTTCTTGCTTACCCTAATGGCTTATGACCGTTACATAGCTATCTGCCATCCTCTGAAATATAGCCTCATCCTGAACTGGAATACATGTGATCAAATGGCAGTTGCATCTTGGGTCAGCTCCCTCCTATATGCCTTGTTACAAACAGTCATTGTTTTCCAATTAAACTTTTGTGGGCCAAACAGAATTGAACAATTCTTTTGTGATATTCCTCAGTTACAAAACATTTCTTGTACAGATACAAAAGTGAACAAAATTCTGATTTGGACATTGGGAATAACTGTAGGTTCCATTTCTACTGGATTGGTTTTTGCTTCTTATGTCCACATTATTTCTGCTGTGCTGAAGATTCAATCAACTGAAGGCAGATGCAAAGCATTTTCGACTTGTATTCCACACTTGACAGTTTTTTCTTTATTCATCTCTATGGGTTTGTTTTCATACATGAGGCCCAAATTTCTTTCTTCTCCTATTATAGACTTACTTTCTGCTGTTTCATATACAGTTGTACCTCCTGTTATGAATCCAATCATTTATAGCCTTCGGAACAAGAACCTGCAAGCAGCTGTGTGGAAATTAACATCGAAAGCAAACAAACAAATAAATCCTAACCTAATTTGAATGTCTTCAGTCTGACAAATATAAAATTTCCTTTTGAAAGGATGAGGGATCCATGTCTCTTGTTCTCTTAAATTATACTTTAACATATAGGTTGGCCTCCCTACAGTATGTTGCAAAGTATTTGCATGCAATGGAGAGGAGATGAGAATTATATCGGACATAATTCTACACCAGTAACTGGCAACACAAACACTAGATTGGATCTCTTGCTCCTAACTGTTTATTATTTATTTTCCTCAGTAAACAAATGAACAAATATAACATTTTTTTTTAATAATTCAATTTCCTGGTTTTCTTTTTATCTAGTTTTATGATTTGTCTGAAAAATGGGTCATATTTTAGTTCCCATTTATGCAGAAGTATTAAAAATTCAAAAAGGTTCACAAACAAAATGGCTTCATTTTGTATTGAATTCATTTTTTCTTCTTATAGCTACATCATCTCTCCTGTGCTGAAGATTCCATCAATGAAAGGCAGATGCAAAGTCTTCTCAACTTGCAATCCACACTTTATAGTTGTTTCTTTATTCATCTCTACAGATTTGTTTTCATCCATGAGGCCAACATTTCTTTCCTTTCCCATTGTAGACTTACTTTCTGCTGTTTCATATTCAGTTTTACCTCCCTTTCTGAATCCCATCATTTACAGCTTTCGAAACAATCACATTCAAGCAGCCCTGTGGAAATTAACATCAAAAAACAAAAATAATTTCCTAACTTGATTGGATTGTCTTTAGTATGACAAATATAATATTCTGTTAGTAGAATGTAATTGCAATTGGCAACCCAAATACTGGATTAGGTATTTTGATCTTAATTTTACAATGTTTATATTAATATAACATTTATTATTTAAATCATTTTCTTCAAATGTACATGTACAACATTTTGAATCATTTATTTAAATGGTTTTCTCTTTATCTCATTTTATGACTTGTATGGGGAACAAATAAGTTTTAGTCCATATTTTTACAGAAATATTGAAAATGAAAAAGATTCACAAACCTTTGAACTTCTTTGTGATATATAATATGATTCCCTGTTTCATATACAGAAAAAACAAGGCAAATGAGTAACTCTACAAGATCATAGTCATTTTTATTCAATCAGTAATATAAATAGTCCAAAATATTACAGGACTTTATTCTCTGAAACAGTCAAATACCTTTTAGAAAAATTGGTTGGCAGATCTTTATCTAACTTACTAAGGTAACATACATATGCTGTCTAAAGATTTCATGAATAAAAAATTTCCATCTCAAACAATAGAATTGTGGGTTCATCTTTTTCTGTCCTTATTCAAATCAAATCAATCAAATACTATGCTAGTCAAATATACTCAAATCAATGTCCCATTTTTCACTGCTAAACGTTTTGCTAAAGTCTCTTGGCTAAAATAGCCAGTTAAAATTTTAATATCTATATTGATCAATGAGTGCAAAACAAATTACCTTTACCAGGTTTTTATATAATACAATGAGATATAATTGTTAAAATTTTCATTATATAGTTTTTAGAGGTTGGAAAAAAAGTTGTTCACCATTAAAATTATATCATTCTATCTAACATCAATGAAGTCTTGCACTTTGCTATTATTGTTATTATTCCTAAGAAATTTATTTTTAATCTCATCTATCCATCCAAAGGAGCAACTAGTTACTGATGATTTAAAATTAAATATAAAATCAAATAAAGATCCATTTATAACATTTTGTTTTGACCATAGTACAAAGATATTTTGAGCTGTTCCAAATAAGCAAAAAATAAGATAAGATAACCTTTATTGTCATTTTATACTGTGGGCACAATGGCACACATCAAAAATGAAATTTAATTGCCTGCTCTCAAAGTGAAACACATACATGACACACACCTAATACATACTATGAACAACATATGTATAGACCCACATCCCTACATATACATAGCAAATAAATATTAAATATTGGATTTATAATAGGCTGTATCTAAAATATACAATAGCAAATACTAATAAACACAACAGCATTGAAATTGAAATTAGATGGATTTGTATGAATTAGAGAATTTAGAGAAGCACAACATATAACCACATGGCCTGACAAAATAATACTAAAGAAGAAAAACTTCCATGACCTTTTGATGAGTGGAGACTACACAAGATGCTTAAAGAAAATGTAACACTGGCCTTAATCCAGTATTCTGTTCAATCCCAGATTATCTCCCAATAGAAGGGGAGAATTCCCTTGAACCCAGTTGACAAGTGGAGATCATATGATCTGCTTGAGCCTAGTTTATTGAATTACATGGAAAATATAAGGTAATGTCCTACCCACTGAAAGAGTGGAAAGACAAAGCTTATATAATGTTTTGTTTACAGGAAAGTGAACAATAGGTTCCAAATTCACACCCATAACAACCTAGCAATTTTAATTTTGATTTGTTCAATTCTTGACTGAACTTACTTGAGTATTGTTGTATCCTGGGCCTGATGAGGCAGCTCAACAGGCCCAGAAGTGTTGCAAACGGTCCCGGGCAACCCAAAAGCTGCCCAGGACACGACTGGTTGGCGTCGGCCTTGCGCGCAGGCGCAAGGCACGAACAAAGGAGAATTATGATAGGCTGTTTGGAAAACTATAAAAGGCCTGCGAGCCTGTTGGTTACTGAGTGGTAATGGGAATAAATAAAGAAGAACTTGGTTACAATGTGAGTGTGTGTCGCTTCAATGCCGGGAACCCCAAGACATAAAAGTGGCGACAAAGGTGGGATCGCTGCAAGGAAGAAGACAACTGAAGAAGCTAGCTTCTAAAAAGAACTGGAGACCGGGAAGTCGGCACCCAAATCTGCACTCTCCTGCCAGTACGCAAATGCTGGAGGTGGGCTTGGCAAATGGGCCTCTTCCCCACAGAAGTTGCAGCGAGGCTAAAGAAGCTAGAAATGTCAAAAATCATCCGTCTGTCCAAATTTGACGTGTCTCACCTGGAGCATTGGAACTCTTATGTGGCCCAGGTGGAAAACTACCTGCAAGTTAACCAGGTTTGAGAAGACGGCTTGAAGGCAGCAACCTTGCTGTGCGTCTGCGGCCAGGACACTTTCGACGTAGTCGAAAACTTAGTAGCTCTTGCGCCGCTTGAGTCTGTAACGTACACAGACTTGAAGAATATGTTAAAGGACCATTTCCATCCAAAGCTATTGGTGATCGTGTGGAGGCACGTTTTTGAGCAGAGGGACCAGAAGCCTGGTGAGTCTACTGCGGAATTCATTGCTGCCTTAAGGCAAGCAGCCAGGCCTTGTGAGTTCAAGGACCTGGAAGAACGATTGCGAGACCGTTTTGTCTGCGGCCTCAAAAGTAGAGAGCTGTAACAGAAAATATTTGTGAAAGCTGAAGTCACTTTCCAAGATGTCTTGCATAAGGTTACAGCTGAAGAGGCAGCAGGCAGCGCTGTAAAGGCCTTGCGACTCACCAAAAGCGCTACTGCAGTTGTGTCCGTCCATCAAGAGGACGCTCGAGAAGAGGAGGTGGACAGACTTCACCAGCCAGCAGGAAGAAGGATGAAGGGGCATCCAGACAATGCCCCAGCATCTCCTCAGTGTCTCAGGTGCGGAGGATACCGTAAGCGACCTGACTGCAGATTCCGCTCTGCCATCTGCAGGGCATGTGGAAGGCAAGGCCACATTGCCTCCGTCTGTTTGGGTCACCAGAAAGTCCAATCTCGGGAAGAATTGCTTCAGAAAGGTACCAGGGTCCCCAGCCAACACAGGATGGGTTTCTGCGCATCGCGCAGGAGTATTCTGAAGACAGGGATACACAAGCCCCTTAAGAAAAAAACTTTGCATTGACGTGAAGTTGCAAGGGGTTCCCTTATCAATGGAGTTGGACACCGGGTCCGCTTTATCCAGCATTTCACTTGACACATTCAAAAGGATTTGTAGCAGTAGTGGCCTTTGAGTCAAACTCAGGCCATTGAATTTAATCCTCACTGACTTCCAGAATTCCAAAGTCAGTGTGAAGGGGGAGGCTATGCTCAAAGTGCAGCGTAAAGCTTTTGAAGGCTTCCTAGATGTGGTAGTAGTTGGGGGTGAACACACAAGTCTTATTGGACTCGATTGGTTCGAGGCCCATGGAATTCAAGTGACTGGGCTGCACAGCATGCAAACATTGGGCCTTGCAGAAGTAAGCAGGGAGTTTGCTGATGTGTTTAGCTCAGAGCTTGGCTCCTACAAGGGGCCTCCCATTGCATTACGTTTAGACCCAACTATCACACCCATCAGGATCAAGCCTAGAAGGGTGCCTTTTACCCTCAAAAGCAAGATAGATGCAGAGCTGGAGAAGCTGCTCCAGCAGGGCATTTTAGAACCTGTGGATTCTAGTCCATGGGAAATCCCCATTGTCATGCCTTTAAAGGCTAATGGAGAAGTCCGCATATGTGCAGACTATAAGTGTACACTGAATAAAGCTTTGCAACAGCACGCTTATCCAGTGCCTGTGGTAAGCCACATTCTGGCCTCCCTCAAGGGGAGTGCACATTTTTGCAAAACTTGATTTGGCACAGGCCTATCAACAGCTACCTGTTGATAAGGCAACTGCAGAGGCCCAAACAATTGTAACTCATAGAGGGGCCTTTAAGGTCAAAAGACTGCAGTTTGGGGTTAATGTAGCCCCTGGCATATTTCAAAGTGTCATGGAATGCACACTTCATGGTATTCCTGGGGTCTGTCCCTACTTTGATGACATCCTCATTGCTGGGGAGTCATCTCAGAATCTAGCAGAAAGATTAAGAGCTGTCTTGTTGCGGTTCCGCCAAGCAGGCCTTAAATTAAAGCAAGACAAATGCAAAATAGGAGTCGTTTCCACTGATTTCTTAGGTTTCAGGATTGATGCTCAAAGCATCCACCCTGCAGAATCTAAGCTTCAAGCCATCTAGCAGGCCCCTAGGCCCACATCTAAGAATGAGCTGCAAGATTTCTTGGGGCTCTTAAATTTTTACCATGCATTTCTCCCACATAAGGCTGCAGTGGCAGAGCCGTTACACAGGCTCTTAGACAAGCAGGCTCCATGGCAGTGGACTAAAGTCCATGACAGGAGTTTCAATGAGGTTAAGGCCTTGCTCTCTTCAAATGCTGTTTTAGTGCATTTCAATGAGCAACTGCCTGTATCTCCTTATGGAGTAGGAGCAGTACTGAACCACCTGAAGGCTGATGGGACACAAGTCCCTGTGGCCTACTATTCAAGGACTCTGTCATCTGCAGAGTGGAATTATGCTCAGATTGACAGAGAAGCCTTGGCCATAGTGGCTGGTATAAAGAAATTCCATGATTTCTTATATGGCCGCCACTTCACGGTCTACACAGATCATAAGCCTCTGCTGGGGTTGTTTACTACCAACAAACAGACACCACACATTATTTCCCCACCTATGCTGAGATGGTCAATTTTCCTGTCAGCATATGATTATACACTCATCCACAAACCGGGAAAAGAGATGGGTCACGCAGACGGCCTCAGCAGATTACCTCTCAAACAAATAGAGGATGCTCCTGCGCCTGCTATCAATATTCTTTCAATTCAGGAGTTGCCTGAATCTCCCCTCAATGCTAGGGACGTGGCTGCAGAAACTGTCACTGATCACACGCTCACATGTGTGCTGACATGGGTCTTGTCAGGTCAAAATCCTGGGAACCAGCCTTACTGTTCCTGGGGATTGCCGCAGGTTGCTAGTGATTCCCCAGTGGAGGAGCAAAGGCATCCTCACAATTCAGCTATTACTCCAAACAGGGAGTCCTGTGCATCAGCAATTGCTCTGAACAGGAAGTCATTCCGGGGGGTGGCCTGCGCATCCGCAAGAGCACCAAACAGGAATTCTCCTGAGAAGGAGTTTGACATAGAGGTGGCTCCTAACTCTGGCACCTGGGCCACCTACACAGGTGACTGGAACTATTGGGGCACTGCTGCAATGCAGGTCACGTCTGAGTCTGGTCGCAGGCTCGAGGGACTTAGTTCCCAGGAGCAGTCCATGGTGAACGGGGAGACCTTCGCTCCCACCATCGGGTTTGGGGATTTTCTCCTCTCCAAGGGAACCTGGATGGAGTCCAGAAGACTCAGCCAGCCCACCACAATGGGGGTCACCTGTAAATTATGAGTATCAAAGTCCTGGTTTATCGAGCCCACCAGACGGGCCAGTAGGCCAGGCACCCTTAAGAACAAGTCCTGGTCTGCCTAGCCGGGCAGGTGAGCTGACAGGCCAGGCACCCTCTCTGACCTTGCGTAGGTCTCAAAGAGCTAAGGCCCCTCTCAAGCATCTGGGACACTATGTGAGGTTTCTGTCATCACAAAGAAACCTTGCTGGTCTATGACGAGGTGATGGGGATCTACACTTGGTAGCACACTAATTATAATTTTGGAGAGCGGTTGTTAAGCTAATTTTATTACTTTATGAAAAATATTCTGCCTGTGTGCTGGGCAGAGAAATTCTTTTTCTTTTGTGTTTTTGTCAGGAACCAAATGTAATTGTATGTTTTATCTAGGGGGGAGGGGTGTTGTGTCCTGGGCCTGATGAGGCAGCTCAGCAGGCCCAGAAGTGTTGCAAATGGTCCTGGGCAACCCAAAAGCTGCCCTGGACCAGACTGGTTGGCGCCGGCCTTGCACGCAGGCATAAGGCACGAACAAAGGAGAATTATGATAGGCTGTTTAGAAAACTATAAAAGACCTGTGAGCCTGTTGGTTACTGAGTGGTAACGGGAATAAATAAAGAAGAACTTGGTTACAACGTGAGTGTATGTCGCTTCAATGCTGCGAAACCCAAGAAGTAAAACATATCTCTAATGGTTCTCAGTGGGCCAGGTCCACTTGTTCAATATGCAGGGCTGATTTTGCACTTTTAGCCCCTTAGTAAGCTATTTGTATTTTATTTTTAGTCATTAGACTGAGCACTGAAGGTTCTGTCAAGCCATTTTAATTAGACAAAATTATTTAATAAATTTTGTCCCCATTCAATAGCTGATCTGGTAAATTGTTCAGCTTTAAAATGTGGTAGGAGCAATTGAGGTCCCTATGGGAAAATGGATTTGGATCAGAAATCCTTATAGGTGGGAGAATTGGTGTAGTATTCTTTCTCAAGTTGTGAAGATGACCAGTGCACCATCAAAAATCTCATCTACCTGTTCCAAGTAGCTGTAATGTTTATGAGAATTGGCACAGAAAACCTCAAGGGGAAACAAGAAAAGCATTTTACTTAGTGATAGTAAAGGCATGAAAAATGAAATATACTTCGTTAAGGTATTATAATGTATTTCACAATGATGTTTCAAAGCTTGTAAAATAACTGTGTTTCATCATTCTCTGTCTTTCATGTAACCTATGGACAGAAGCAGGATCTACAATCTTAACTATTCTTACATGTTTTAATGACAAAACCTGTACTTTTCAAAAGGTGTCAGTTAGTGAACAAACTTCCTTACTGATTCTAAGAGAAAAATTAAATGTACAAAATATCCAACTGAGGGCAATTTAACACTCAACTGTATTCATTCACCTTAGTACATATTCACAGGGAAGGGGGAGGATAAGTTTTTTTTTCAAACAGACAAACAAACAAACAAACAAACTAATAATATGTAAGCAAGCAAGCATAGTATCTGGAATTAGGGCTAGCAGATATTTCAAAACATGAAACCTGTGTTGTAGATCAAATTATCTTTCTCAAAACCTCTGATATTTCTAGATAATTTTAAGAGATAATAATAAAATTATTTTAATGCTTTCTAAAGAATCTGCTCCTGAGAGAGCACAATATTCATCAGGGGATTTTAAATGGGACATAGAACTTTTATGGGACTGAGATTGGCCATGGGATTCAAAAGAGGTTGTTAAGTTAGAGAAATAGGATAGCTGGAATAGCTTTCTCAGGAACATTCAATATCTGCCCCAGAATGTCCCTATTGCATTTTTAACCTTAATCAGATTTTACTTGAATTTCTAAAAATAATTCAAGAAACTTGTTACATTTTATCATTAGCATTACTATGGGAAATTATGTAGTTTGTTGTTCTGCAATAATATTTTATTTTCATTGGCGAAGCTTTGGGGCAAACAAAAAGATTCATGATTGGCTCTTTCAGCAGGGAAGAGGGAAGATGGTCATTTAATTCAGTTTTTTTCCCCTTGGAGCGATAGTAGATGATAATAATTCATTTATTTAATTTGGAATTTACCCATTCATTTCAGCATGAGAATTATGATCAGTCTCTAGAGAATGATTCCTTAAAACAGAACAGAAAACAAGGATGATATAATTATTTTTTTTCTTTCAATTCTTCTTACCAGAGAGTTAGAACCTATAAAATGGTGGAAAAACACAGGTGTATTTGTATTGTCACTTTTCAACCATATTTCAAGACAACAATAATCTGATTGCTGTATCAATATTTATTGAATATGAAATCTTATATGGATAACTTAACTCATTTACTTCTTTATCCTGCAATTGGACACCCACTTACACAGCTATGGGCTTCACTGAATTCAGGGATATATGTCAACCAGCATATGTGTGAAATCTAGGAGGATTGTATGGTAATATGCAATAACATTATTATGTATGTTTGTGTGTGTGAAGGCGGGGAGGCAGAAAGACACAGACAGAGGCAGAGGCAGAATGCAGCATAGGTTGGAAATCCTATATCCAGTTCTACTATATAAAATATATATTTCAGTAAAAATGTGTAACAAATTTAATCTCTTAAAGAGGAGGGGGTCAACTTATTTTCCAAAGCACCTGAAGGCATGACAAGAAACAATGGATGGAAACTAATCAAGGAGAGAAACAGTCTGGAATTAAAGAGAAACTTCCTGAGGACAATTAACCAGTGGAACAGCTTGCCTTCAGATGTTGTGGGTGCTTCATCTCTGGAGGTTTTTAAGAAGAGACTGGACAGCCATTTGTCTGAAATGGTATAAGGTCTACTGTACTGGTTGAGAAAGGGGTTGGACTAGAAGATTTCCAGCTCTATTGTAACTTTTTTTCTCTCCCCTCACATGTAGCTATTTTCTGTTGAATTATAGTTGCTTAAATAAATATTTAATTCCTCAGTTATTTTAAGGAAAATGAAAATACTAACAGACAAGTATTTCTCCATAAATCCCATACGTATACATTTTACATTTAGTTTGCAATATTATTAATTTTTCTAAGGGGAAATGGTGAGAAAGAGACAAAAAGAGAAATATATGTACATTTCAATGTATATATTTAATACAATTTTCATTAACATAAAATTATTTTTACAAACCAGCTGCAGCATATCAACATTTTTTATCACTTCTATTTCTTTTATTTTTACCATTAAAATGTTCTCTTTCTATTAAATGCCATTTTTTTCAATATAATTCCCTCTGACACAGACGGATTGATAAACTTTGTTATATATAAAATGTAGAAAAGGCAACAACAACAACAACAATAATAATAATAATAATAATAGTGTATATGTTTTTAAAAATATGATCATCTCTTTTGCATTTTAAGAATATATTCATTCAATAGGTTGCATATATCACTATTACTAAATTTGTACCCCTGTTCATTTCCTCTACTAATTTCCTATGATATTCTCTTTTGGTTCAGAAGGAGTCAAAGAAAACAAATGGCCAACCAATCCACTGTGACGGAATTCCTTCTGATGGGATTATCTGATAATCATGATATGCAAATTCTGTATTTTGCAATGTTCCTTGTCATTTACTTATTAGCCTTAATTGGAAATTTCCTTCTTGGTGTTGCTGTGATCCTAAACCAGCAACTTCATGCTCCAATGTATTTCTTTTTGGTAAATTTGTCATTCTCTGATGTTTGCTTCATCTCAACTACGATCCCTAAAGCCATGGCTACTTCTTTGACAAATAACAGGGATATCTCCTATGTTGGATGTGCTGCTCAGGTCTTTTCAGTTTTCACATTTGGAGGTTCTGAGCTTGCCTTGCTGACTGTCATGGCTTATGACCGCTATGTGGCCATCTGTCAACCTCTGCAATATACACTAATGATGAACTGGGATGCCTGTTTACAAATGGCAGCTGCTTCCTGGATAAGTACTTTAATCCATGCTTTGCTACACACTATTCTCACTTTCAGGTTAAATTTCTGCAAATTCAATAGAATTGAACAATTTTTCTGTGATATTCCTCATCTGCTAATTATTTCTTGTATTGATACAAGAATTAATCAGATTTTGATTTTGGTTATAGGGATTACTGTAAACTCATTTTGTAGTGGGCTCATTTTTATTTCCTATGGCTACATCTTCTCTGCTGTACTGAAAATCCCTTCAGTTCAAGGCAGATATAAAGCTTTCTCCACATGTATTCCCCACCTGACTGTCTTTTCTTTATTTTTGATCTCTATTCTCTTTGCATATATGAGGCCCCAAAATGTTTCCTCCCACACTTTGGACTTGCTCTCAGCTGTTCTCTACACAGTTTTGCCCCCACTCCTCAATCCCTTCATTTATAGCTTCAGGAACAAGGACATCCAAAAGGCTCTGTGGAAAATGCTAAAAATAAAAGTGAAGTAAAAGTAATAGTTTTATCTATGTAGGGTTTTCTCTATATACCGTAGGTCTTTTGTCTTTATTTATAAGCATTCCTATATAGGATACAACTTTGCAATGTAAAATCTCCACATTAAAGCAATCTTTTTTGTCTTCCAAATGCTTGAAAAGTTAATTACTATCTAAATGCTGGGAGTGGCATTTAAAGATATGGCATAGAATTATCCAACTTCTGCAATGTTTTGTTTAATACAGTTCTGGAAAGAAGAATTAGGCTTAAATATGTTGGATATATACTGAATTCCATATTGAAAATAGAGAATTTATCAAACAATGAAGAATGCTTTGTAATACTTTGAAATAGATGATTCTGTCCGAATGGAAAGACAATATCATTGTGGCCTTGAATTGTTACACTGGTGATCTTTATCTCTTCTTTGCTTCTGTATTGCTTCTCTATTGAATAATTATTCCACACTACAGAGACAATCTATTTCAAGATTCCATGATTACCATAGTTTTTGAAGGATGCATAATTTATTTTTAAATGAAGACATTCTGTAGAATTCATTGATAAACAACATTTAAAAAGAAGCGTATCTAAGAAGCTAAAAGACATTATTATATTGTGTCTGAAACAGACAACATCAAATTGATTAAAATTTCAGACTCTATGCTGCACTAATCATGACTATTTATTAATTCAATTGGTTACTTAACTCCCTCTCATTTTAATTAGGATTTCATTAAGATACATGCAGGATTCTTCTTATTTAGGATTGCATTAAGATACATGCAGGATTCTTCTTATTATTATTCCTATTAATATATAAAATGAGAGACTGTGTAAAATCAAGATACTAGTTGAGTTGTAAAAAATTGGAGTACTATTTTCAATACTTTTATTTATGTCTTTTGGGTAGCACAGAATTAGAATAAAAGATCTTACTAACAAATTAACTATTAGTTTTACCACTCATGTCCTCAATAAGGTGCCTCATGGTCTCTGAGGGGCCCTTTTCTTTTCTTTTTCCTTTCCCTGGAACTTCTGAAGAATGAAACTGTCTGTGCCAATGATCTCTCTTTTAAGGCAAAAGGATAAAGAGAAGGAATCAGGCTAGGCTGTGCCACAGAACAAGGAGTAGCATTTCTCAACGCAAACCAACTGTAGTCTTCCAGAGTTAGTATCCTTGATAGTGAACATGCTATCAAACCCACACAAATACACAGAAGCTTCAATAAAATTATGCTATTTTTGCTGGAATAAGTCCTTGCCAAAACAAACCTTAAATATTTATCTACCCATAAAAATACCTGCTGGATCCATTCATTAATCTGTCAGATCTAGGATCCTATGTCACATCACAGACACAATAATCATTCAGAAAGTTTTCAGCCATGGGCATGATAGCAGTGGCCTTTCTCTGCTGTTACTGTCTAACTCCTCATATTTTTTGTTTGGGGGGAAAAATGGAAAGACTTGGTCAATTTTAAAGCTCAGGTTTTCTTTTTAAAATATTACAAAATTACAATGTTTTTTTTTAAATCTATTTCTATGCATTTTTTGCTATTTTTTATATATTTCCCTTCATGTTTAAAAGAGGTCAACAAACAGAGTCATGTGGTTTCTAGCCCACCAGTTTAACCACTACAATAAACTATCTTTCTCTCCAGAGACAAGCTTTCAGTAAGAAGGATGCTTTGCCTTCCACTTGCAATGTTTGACCTTGACATTTGTATATAAGTCCAAAGTAAATAAGATTCCACAAACACATATCCATATAGGAGTCCATAATAGGGTATTCATGGGGCATTTCTATTCAGCAACCTATTAATCCTTTGGTTAGGATTTGAATCATGTTCCTTAAATATATTCATCCTAGATAATATTATTTTACTCCATTGAAATGTAGGAAATGTTAGGTTTTGTAATCTAATTTTGATTAGATGGGCTTGTATAAATTGGAGAATGAAGAGGAAAATATGACGTAATTATATGGTCAGACAAAAGGAAATAGGAGGGGGAAAATCTTTCATAATCATATTGATGTGTGGGGACCACACATTTCTTGAATCAAGTTTAATACTCTTCCTGGCTTCACTCTATCCCAGATGAGACTCCAATGGGAAATTTCCCCATAATCCAATTGATAAATGGAGGTCACATGGTCTGTTTGATCCAAGTTTATTGAACTGCCGAGGAGTTCAGGAACAAGGACATCCAAAAGGCTGTGTGGAGAATGCTGAAACCCTAGAAGTATAGGTTTTCTCTATATAGCTCTTTTGTCTTTATTTATAAGCATGATTCATATAGTATACAATTTTGCAATGCAAAATCTCCACATTAAAGTGATCATTTTTAAGTGGGTCTTTCAAATATTGGAAAATTAAGGATATAGCATAGAATTATCCCATTTGTATAACTTTTTGTTTAATATTGTTTTGGGAAAATAAAGTGGGCTTAAATATGCTGGATGTATACTGTATACTATATTTCCATATTGAAAATATAGATGGATTTATTGTAACTATCATACTTTGAAATAAATGATTCTGTTCCAATGAAAAGATAATATCATTGTTGTCTTGAAAAGTCACACTGGTGTTAATAATTCTGTTCCATTCTGACTTTTCAAGGTTGCACTGAAGGTATGTGTTCGTTTCCTGCATCTGAATTGATTCTCTATATGACATAATGCAAAGACTGATCAATATTTATCTATGTCATCAAGATTAAATGCTGTGTTAAAAGCTGTGTTGCTTATTTGTTTGATTTTTATTATTCCTGTTTTGAGAGGGTGGGATTGTTATGTTTTTATAGTATTAAAACAAATTTTAAAAATAAAATAAAAGAGGAAATACTTTAGATTGTGGCAGTTGGATAACACTAACAAGTCAAATCTTCTTTCTTGTAGTTTTTCATGTTCATAAGGTGATTTTCTTTTCCTATTAGCTTTTAACTCTTAAAAGAAAGATAATTTATATCCAGGTTCTTTGACTGTCAAAGTTTTTGAAAGATGCTTAGTTTACATTGCCATAGATGTATACTATAGGTAATAGATGAACTTTTTGCTAGTCAGTTAACTAAGATATGTAGCAAGCACATCACAATAGTAATAGAAGACTTTAATTACTCTGACATCAACTGGGAGACAAACTCTGCACCAAGTGGAAGATCAAACAGATTCCTGACAAACCTAGCAGACAACTTTGTCTCCCAAAAAGTAGAGAAGAGAACTAGGGGATCAGCCATATTGGACTTAATTCTCATTAGCAGAGATGAAATGATAGAAGGTGTTGAAACCACAGGAATCATGCAATATTGGAATTCAACATTATGCAAGCACAAACAATAGAATACAGTCAAACTAGAGTCTTGGACTTTAAGAGAGCTAATTTCAATAAACTTAGAGAGAGCTTGGGAAGGATTCCACGGATAAGAATCCTCAAGGGGAAAACAACTCAAGAAGCTTGGGGAATTTTGAAAACTGAGATTATAAAAGCCCACTATAGCACAATACCAACGAAGAAGAAAAATAATAGCTTTCAAAAGAAACCAGCATGGCTGCATAAAGAACTCTCTGATAAATTGAAAGACCAAAAGGACAAGTATAAAAAGTGGAAAGAGGGGCACATAACTAAGGCAGAATATCAACAAATAGCTCAAGCCTGGAAAGATGAAGTGAGGAAGACTAAGGATCAAAATGAACTAAGGCTTGCGACCAAAGTTAAAAATAACAAAAAAGTTTCTTTCAACGTGTAAAAAACAAGAAAAAGGTTAAGGAAATGATTGGTCCACTAGTGGGAGAAACTGGTGGACTGGAAAAGAGCTGATGTAGTTCCCATCTTCAAAAAAGGAAACAAATGGATCTAGGAAACTACAGACCTATCATCCTGACCTCAATACCTGGGAAGAACTTGGAAAAGATAATCAAGCAATGAATTAGCGAACACCTAGAGGCAAACAAAGTCATTACCAAAATCGAATACGGGTTTGTTAAAAACAGATCATGCCAGACAAATCTTATTGCATTCTTTGACCAGGTAACAAAATTAGTGGACCAGATGAATGTTGTAGGTATAATTTGCATGGACTTCAGTAAGGCATTTGATAAAGTAGACCACAACCTACTACTTGACAGGATAGAAAAATGTGGGTTAGACAGCATTACCACCAGATGGATTCGTAGGTGGCTACTACTTCACAATGCCTTGGAAAGGCCACACTTGGAATACTGCATCCAATTTTGGTCACCATGATGTAAAAAAGATGTTGAGATTCTAGAAAGAGTACAGAGAAGAGCAACAAATATGATTAGGGGACTGGAGGCTAAAACATATAAGGAATGGTTGCTGCATCCTAGAACTAAGGAAAAATTTCCTGACAGATAGAGCAATTAATCAATGGAACAACCTGCCTCCAGAAGCAGTGAATGCTCCAACACTGGAAGTTTTTAAGAAGAGACTGGATGGTCATTTGTCTGAAATGGTATAAGGTTTCCTGCCTGAGTAGGAGGTTGGACTAGATGACCTCCAAGGTCCCTTCCACCACCACCACCACCACCACCACCACCACCATCATCATTTTATAGAGTTCACTACACCCTGCATGTTTAATTTATTTCTAAACTAAAGCACTCTGTAGACTTCACTGATACATTGCTTTTTAAAAGAAGCATATTTAAGAACCTGGAGGACTTCCCTTAGTGATTCTTTTGGTTCTGAAAGAGCTTCTATCAAAATGATTAGTATTTTCAAATACAGTATATGCTGCACTAATCAGTATTTATTTACTAAATCAATTGGCCACCTACTCCACCTCTTTTTAATTAACATTTTAGTAAAATATATAATAATAATAATAATAGTAAAGTTGGAAGGGACCTTGAAGGTCATCTAGTCCAACCCCCTGCTCAGGCAGGAAACCCTATACCATTTCGGACAAATGGCTGTCCAGTCTCTTCTTAAAAACTTCCAGTGTTGGAGCATTCACCGCTTCTGGAGGCAGGTTGTTCCACTGGTTA